TGCCTAACGGACGTGAAAACTCGAAACATAAAGACAGGTAAAATGAACTATTAAACTAACGGCCCTTATAGTTTGGGATGAGCGACAACGGTAGTACCGCTGTTTACGCAAGAAAATGAAATGACTTCCCCAAGTCAAAGGTTTCGTGCGTAGCAGCCTTAATCAAATGTAATCTGTTCAGAGCAAACTTATTATTGATGGCTATGTATTATAGCTCACATTTGTATATAATTATCTTGGATAATACGCCTCGCAAAATATTGTTACATTACAAAAAAAAATAGAAGCGAAAAATAACGTTACAAATGTTGTTTTTTCATACTACCTAATTAATAGGCTGTAGCTAAGTGCAAACGGTGCATTATAAATAACAGCCCAAAGTTTCTATTGCCATGTTAAATGGTATTAATGGTTATATAATAGCTAGCGAATATCGAAACATACCGTTATTATACAGTCTACCGGTTCATGCGATGCAGACGTTTAATAAATGTCTAAAAGCCTAAGTCAGACACCCTAAAGGAATCATTTCTTACGCAGTTATATGGTTGTTTGCTGAGGTTTTAGTTATTATTCAAACAATGTGGCAGAGTGTGACCTGGGCAAAAGGTATCAATTAATGCGATAATAAACCTGTTAGGGAAAATTTCCAACAAAAATTATGAAAAAATTACAATTTCAACACGGACACACGACGGTTTTAGCTTAGCTACAGTTTGCTTAAGTTGAATTTTAGAAAAATCGCATGGGCCATTTATTCAGCAGAAAGCATAATAGTCGCTAGCTACCCGGCTTTGATAGGTCTTCATCTTGAGAAACCTTGAGATAAAGCTGCTCGTAAAATGAAGCCGACTAGACGAATACTTTTGTCAGTGAAGTTTCCTCGGTGAGTTTAGACGAAGTCGTTGTCTGCTAGTTATTCGACAAAATCGAGAATATGAAAAAGCTTATATTATTAAGTCCTTTACCTTTCAAGCTCAGCAAACTAGGCGCAAATTTGTATTTTCGGAAGGTCCCCGATTTTTAATTTTTTACTACGTGGTGGTAAATTATCGTTTGTCCGGATGGTTCACAACCAACTAAGTATGAATCATCTTTCGCCTAATTTCAAGTGTACAAATGTTCTTCCAGGAAGCAGTTTTTTTTCATCAAAGGGCATCATACTACCTTGATTCATTTATGAAGTCTAAACCATCTCGCTATAGTAATGGTTTGATGAACACTTTTATCCGAGTGGGAGGAACTGGTAGCTCACTCACTTACTTTTTAAGCAATCGCACATATACACTGTACCAACGAATTAATTGCAATTGAGTAAAAAGGTGGCTACCAAGACACTCTAACGGGGAAGTGGCAGCAGGGTAACTAATACTTGCTCAAACAGGATAGCTGTAGTAAATTGCGAGGTCACTGATCCCCCAAATGAAAGTTTCACTAGGTAAAAGAAAAATCAATCTAACCGGAGAATTATAATCAGATGACAGGATTCTAGGATCGGACGTTTGTTTGTAACGGCAAAGCAACAGGCTTGTAAAAATATTCCAGTTGGAGAATGAGTCACGTGAAGCCGGGTAGCTGTAACGGGATAAAATCATTGAAGCTGCAAAATTTCAACTGAATTATAATAAGATTCAATGTAAACGTGTAGATTTGCGCTAATAAAAGTTTCTTTTAGTGATGCCCGTTCGATTACTGAATCCGTTTTTGAAATGGCCTCACTTTGAGTTCCCTATCGTTTGAAATCTGCTTTACATCTCTTTGCGGGAGCCGTAAAAGCTCATGTAAACTACGCTGTGACGAGCTTTTAAAGTATAATTTTCTGCTCAAAAAATGATAGTTCAATGTTTACATAGAGATCTAGATTAAGGCCAATATTTCTTCGCGCTAATCGAAAGCGCTCGCCGATATAAATCAAAACATGTGTCTGTACCTAGATCAAATATTTTTGTCAAAATTGCCGCCTGAAGTGTGAAAATTAGACGTAGTGCTATATGCAGGAGGAATATTTCGATAAATCTGGACAAACTGCGTAAAAATGTTACACATGCCTTTTTATCTAAAACGAGCACTTTCGCATAAAGGTAGCGAGACCACATGTGGCGTATCTTCTTTTTCTAGCAATGGGATAAAATCTTGTTTCAAATAATTTTTTTAACAAATTTTTAATGTATGCCAATTGGAGTGCTGCAACATGATGAACATTTTTTGTAACAACTTTTTTTGTTAAAATATTCACTATAAAGCGGTCTTGCATGATAAAGATCGAAACAACGAAACCATTCTTCTTCGAGGGAAGTGCTGCTTTTTTGATGGTTTTCCTTGGCAGTGCATATATCTCGACGAGCTGCATAAAAATGTAATATATTTTCCTATATCTGAAATGAATATTTTTTGGCACGAAAAGGGCCAAAAACTAATGTGGTAACTGTTTCGCTTATTTGACACGATGGTGGGATGAATGTCTTTTGTGGGACTGTAACAAGCAGCAGACTTAGAGACAGGAAAACTTATGAACTTAGCAGCTGCGGAAATTAGTCGAAGATTGGTTAGGACATTAGGTAAGGAAGTCTTGAGCGAGAATATAGTACGTGAATGGTGTAAACGTTTTAAGAATGGGGATTAAAGCATTGGAGATCAGCAAGAAAGTAACCAGATGTCGGGAACCAGAGTACAAGGAGATACTGTCGCAATCGGGGAGGCCTTCTATAAAAGCAGAGTCCGAAGTCTACGGGCTATGGCGACCAAAAAATTCATGTTAAACTGATTTCAGGTCATCTGGAAATCCATCTGATGCATTTCACGGGCAATTTATGGAACTTTAATCAGCAAAAAGCTCGTTTTAAGCATACGGTTGCCATAATTCGATCACTAGCCGTAAACATGAATGAAGAATCTTTAGTTCCCTAAAAGGCTCATGGATCATTGGTTCGTCAATTGTAAGTACCCGGTCTAATTGCTCGATGACAACGCCAAGGCTCATCGCTATACTTCAATTACTACCTGGATTAAGCAATCAAGCATCCACTCCAAGCTAAGTACGCGCAATTATAAACTTTTACGCACGACCAGTGCGCAAGCATAGTCGACAAATAATTTACATCGAAAAGCCCAAGTGAATTTGTTTCATAAATTGGGCTTGGGGATAAGAATAGTGGGTACATGGCATCCAGAAACTGGGACAAAATAAAAACAAGTGCCCTTAGTGCGTATTAGAAATGATCATTCTAGCCCAGGTGCTTCAAATATTACTTATTTCACAATCTATCGGATTCGCTTGTCGCCGCCTTACAGATCGAAGTCTATGATGGCGGAAGGGATTTGTCGGTAGCACTTAAAAGTTCTGCATGAGCTAATATGCAATATATGTTCCTATATCTAAATTTCTCGGGCCACTAATGCCGTACAAAGGTTTAACTTAACAATTATTTAATTAGCTATTAATCGATAGATTTCGACGAATTGAATAAAAACGCCGTATACGACTTTATATCTAAAATGGATATTTCCGCATAAAAGGAGGAAAGATCCGATTAATTATATCAATTCCGGACAATGAGCTTTTTGAGTGGCTTTTTAAACGAATTTTTAGTTAATGGTAATTGAAAAGGCCAGGTGTCAACTTTTCATTAAATTCATTCATATTAGAAGAGGCTGATAAAGTATCTGCCCAGCTTAGGTAAGCGGGACATCTGCAACGGGATATGTAACGGATTGGTTATATATTAAACCTAATATTAAGCTGTATGTAATATCAGCAAATTAAATTAACTAAACCGATTAACCCAAGACAGGCACGGGTCCGTAAAAAAAGCCGATTCATAAGAACGGTATTGGAAGCACAGTTGGCAATATCATCATACATTTACATGTGCAAATGCAAGTCGTGCATTTACTATACATACAATAGAGCTACGAAACATTTTCATTTCGAGGTTATAAGCCAGGTGGTATGATGATGGTTATTAGTATTAGAGAAAGAAGCTTGACTTCCCTTATGACGATAGTAGACACTATCTCACTTTGTACTCGGCGCACTTTAGCCAGCCATTGTAGCAACGCAAAACAAGTAAGTTGATAAGAGAAAACTATTATAAGGTCTTTTAACGTTTAGCCATTTCAAAGAGATCTTAACTAGCCATCATTTCGATATCTATCTTTTCATTATTCGTAAGACGCTGGCACTTCAGAGCTTTCGAATAATGCATTTCTTTTCGCATTAATTATTTAGATATA